GACTTCGGGCCAGGCCTTCCCTCCCCTACACCAAGAGGATTGTGGCCACCTTACTGTGACCAGGTACCCCAAATTCCTGTGAGAAGCACTTACCTATTTTTCTTTTTAAGTGACTATTTTCTTAGAAAAGTTTTAGGTTCATAACAAAATGAAGAGGAACAGATTTCCCATGCCCGCTCCAACCCCCACCATGTCAAGCCTCCCCATCATAGTGGTCCACTGGTTACAATGGATGAACCTACTCCTGGTGGTGTGCCTTCTACGGGTTTGGACGAGGGTATAATGACACGGGACGCACCCACCATTATAGCCCACAGGGCAGTCTCCCTGCCATAAAAACCCTCAGGAACACTCTCCTGATCTCCTCCGCTGGGTGTGAAGGGAGTGAGGAGGATGTACTGAGTGCCTGTCAGGTATTTTCTAGGTCTCTTTTTCATTTAATCCTACAGCCACCCCTTGAAGAAGGGAGACTGAAAGAAGGGAGACTGAAGAAGGGAGACTGAGGGGTCACTTGAGATCCCCATGGCCAGATGACAGTTAAAAGGAAGGCCCTAGAGGAGAAATTCAAAATCAAGCCCTTGCCCTGAGTGATGAGGTCTCACTTGCTGATACAGGGCTGGGAATTCAAGGGAACTCCCCAAAAAAGTACCCTCCAGCCTTTAGAGGATAGGTTCTTGCCTTGGTGAGATCTATTTGTTTTACTTATGCAAGAGTCCTTGTGCCTACTTCTGTGTAAGACATTGTCCTGCGTGCTGTTGGAGGGACACTGGGTCTCACCTTTACTGACTCTAGGGTTGAATGGAAAAAGTGACACACAAGCTCTAATACAAGTACTCTGATAAGTGCAGAAACACCATGCAAATCATGAAGGGAGAGGTTAGGGGTAGGTTGGAAAGGATGCAGAAGTTGTGGTCAGTCCCTGAAGGTGTTTGAGGCAGGCCATGAGGCCAGAGGACAGACAGTGGAAGCCCTAATGGACTACAGGGAGAGGCTACAGCCCTGGGGCCAGAGCCAGGGAGCCATGGCCCAGGGAGAATATTCTGGAGTGAAGTGGATGAGAGGCAACTTAAAGGAGAAATAGATCCATGAGCCTGGGGGCAGCACTGAGCAGGCAAAAGGGTCATGAGGAAGAGCATTGAGTTATGAGCTCTTGGAGAGGAGGCTTGCTTTGTGTACACTGATGGTGGATTTCCGTCTAGGTTGAATTGTTGAAAACTCCATGTCAAAGCTACTGTGGATGCATGGGGTTCTCATTCACAACAGCAAGGTACAACAGGTGGCTTGGAAAGATGAACAGAATTCTCTATGGAGGCTGGGCATCTGAGGGCCTTTGGAATGGTAGGTTGGAGGTGCAAAACAAAACTTAAGATCTGTGGGGCACAGCAACAGGAATTGTCCAGGAAGCAGTCGGCCATGGGTACCTATGTAGAGAGAATGAAGGTGAGGGGGACCCGACTCAAAAATACCAAAGGTCGTCCAGTCTCCCACATAGCTGACGACAGCAGGCGGAGCCAAGGAGCAGGGAGAGGAGGACACTGGGAGAGGAGCTGAAGGAGGACTGTGCTGTCTGGAGTGGAGACCCTCCCCTGGGGGCCTCCAAGAGGTGAAGGAGACAGGATGCTTCTGTCAGGCAGGGGGCTGACTGCTCACCACCTTGTTTCTCCACATTTTGAAGGTTGCAGCTGGACACTTTGACAAATGTTTTACCATCACAGCTGCTCTGCCACTTGAGCCACATCTCCACCTCATTTTGCTCTAGTCATTTATTTTTTGGCAGCACTAGGGTTTGAACTCAGGGCCTCACTCTTGCTAGGCAGGCGTCTTACCACTTGAGTCACTGCCAGCTTGACAAATGTTTTAATACTTGTTTTTGTCCCATCCAGGATCAACGGGTGTCCTTGGTGGGTGGGTACAGTAATTCCTTCAATGCCCACCCCGTCAGCAGGTCTGCTCGTGACAGAGGCCTGGGAGCACAGCTGGGCTCCAGCTTCCACATTGATCTTTTCATGGAGCACCTCCCCATGCAGGCAAAACCCATTTCTAAGGCATTGTGTGGAGGAAAACACATAACAAAATTTACTTACTCATCAGAGTTAGAAATGTTAATAAGGGGGATTTTAGTAGAAAGTTGCTTCTCAGGTCAAGTCAAATAATAGTAAAGAATTTCTTGCAGCTTCATTCTTTACAAATAATAGTAAAGAATATCCACATGAACACTGAAGGGGATGGAACATTCAGTCCTGGGGAAGTCATATTGAGATGATTCCAGGGTATGGTGGTCCACTCTAAATGACAAGCTGATAGGACTTGGATGTGGGTAGACTCTGTCAGAATTAGCTTGTAGCCCAAAGTTAGTGCTCAGTAAACATTTTTAGAATAACTGCTTTTTAGCATCCATGTTCCTTTCTCAAAAGAAATCCAATACAGAAAATCCCAGATGCAATATAGAATCCTTCCCTCAGTTAAAGAACTCTGCAGCTCTCCTTAAAAGCTTGTTGCTAATGTTTACACAAAATTCAACTCAGGTGGGAGTAAATGCCTCACCAGCCCGCCTGCCCTGGCACACAACCACAACCATACACGCCACCCCAGCAAGGCCCCTTTTCCATGTAGCCCCTCCACATGGCTTTTTCCCCTCGTACTGGTTCCATGAGGGCTGTGCACATGTCATTTCTAATATAGCTAGTATTTCCTAAATAGAGCATATGTTTTTATGTAAGAGTTTAGTCATTCTTTTTATTAGGAAATGGTACTAATTTGCTCATTAATAATTGAGCACCATAAAATCACAGACTGGGGCACCCAATCTGACCTCAGCTCCACACGCCAGCATAACAGGCTCCAAACTGCAGTGGCTGCAGAAGCTGTGAGATAAACAGGGTGGTGGGTGGTGAGGAAGCTCTTGCTCAAATCTAAGTGTAGCCGCTGCTTGCTGATCCAAGGGCTGAGATCACTGGGAGAGTTGTGCTGAAACTCTTCTCTGCTGCCGATTCTTCCAAGAAAACAGGTCTCGACCTGCTCCTGCCACCGGTGAACAGATGAGGAGAAAAACAGGGCTACAGCCTGTATGAGAACACAAATGCTCCTTTTGGTCTCATCTTCCATAAATATCAGTATTTCCTACAAAGTAGAAATTCTTTTTTCACAGACTTGCAAACAGTTTTTTTTTTTTTTTAAAGATGACTCACCCATTTTCTCGCCAACTGTTTAGCCAAGCCGGAAAGGAGATTCCCCCACTGGAATTTCCAGTGTGCAGTGCACCCCAAAGCATGCTCAACAGCGCACACAGTACCTCTGTGAATGAACTGTGAAACTGCAGTTTGCCAGCTGCTTCCCAGTCCACTGCCACTGAAAGGGAACGCTGAGCTGAGAGTGTCGACAACAGGAACCTTTGCCAAGGCTGGGGAAACTGGATGTGGCAAAGGCCAGGCCAAGACCAGAGGCAAGGGGACTGTGACTACAGTGGAAAGGGGACTGGGCATCCAGTTCCCTTTGTAGACAGCACAAATCTACTTACAGAAGTTGAGAGAAACCCTCCTGTAGGGGATAGTAATGATGGTTACCTCATGGGGTTATATGAAGATTAAATGAGTTGATTTACTTAAAGTGGGTGCTTAGAATAGGACCAGGTACATAAAACTTTGTCTGGTAATAATTATTAAAATCACTACAAAAGGGAAGAGGATGCTGCAAGACCTGTGGAAGGGCCTCTTCATGGGACAGATCTTTCCCTGGGGATCTACTTTTTCCCTCTCTCAAAACATAAGAATGTCAAGGAAAGCATCAGAGTATAAAATTAATGTATTTTTTTTCCCCTAGTGAGACAACCTGTAACCTCAAGTTAACAATCAAGGGCAAAAGGTCATGAACATAGGCGAGTTTTAGTTCCTGCTACCAGCAGTGATTTGCAAATCAAGTAGAGAACGATGCCCAGGCCTCCTTGACATGGCCCACGGCCACCCTAAGAGGTCCGTGAGCAGCAGGGCTAGGGGCACAAGACCACCCCAGCAGGACAGGGAGGTAGGGCCTAAGACCAGACATTGAACATAAGAGAGCATGTGAGAGGGAACAAAAGCATACAAGGATGAAGAAGAAAAGAGGAAAGAGGCAGAAAGAAACAAGGCAAGTAGAGGGGAGGACACAGGGTTCAGGAGGTCAGAGCTGTGCCTGCGTTTTTTCTTTTGAGATCCATGTAGGAAGAGGTTACCAGCAAGTGAGAGTGTGACAAGACAAGGCAACAGGTAACATCCTCTGGTTGGAGCAGGTTTGCAAAGGTGCCTTTGACTCATATACTACTTATGTTTTTAAGAGCCTTTCCAAGGTAGTCCTAACACTGATTTAGACACTGACTTCAAGATGACCTCAATTTCATGGCCTTGGCTTCTCAGGTCTTCCCGCCCGCTGAGGACCTCCCGATCATCATACTTGATGCAGAACCAACCTGCTGTAGGTGGTTTGTCCTTAAGGACCTCAAAACAGTATAGTCAGACTCTGTGCTCCCTCCACACAGAACCCCAGAGGCTTCTGATGAAAGCTGAAGACTGATTGTCCCCAGAGCCAACATGGTCATGGGGAGACCTCAGCACACACTGCTGCCACTGCTCAGCGGAAGAGAGGAATAGCTGCCCCACTAAAACCGAAGCCCAATACAACAAAAGCCCTCTCATTCGGGAATGTAGTCATATAATTCCTACTTGGCAGAAATGTATGGCTGGCTGAAGAACAAAAGGAACTACTTGAATCCAAATATCGCCTCTTAATCCCTTAATTAGACTAAGTCCTTCAGAAGGAAGCAGAAGTCATTGTTACTGAAGGAAACCAGAGCAAACACAGACCAAGGCATCCACGCACATGCGCTCGCACATACGTGCCTGCGTGTATTCGTATGAATGCAAATAAACACTCACGTGAAGGGCACCGCGTTTGAAAGGCATTTACTTGTTTATGAGGGTCGTGATCTGAACATTAAGATCACTTCTCCCAGGAAGATGACTTGGGGAAGATGTGGTGAGCGGGCGAGACTCAGCAGTTCACGGGCATGTTAAAAGATGTGCCCCGTCTGCGTGGGGCTCCCTCTGCTCTGACTTCAGGCCAGAGAGTTTGCCTGGCAGCACCTGACAGCAGAGTGGTCGGAAGGCTCTGCCTGGTGAGAATTCACCTGGAAGCTTTCTTCTTCTTCTTTTTCCCGGGTGCTTCATCTAGCACAGCATCTACTGCTACCTCTACCAACTTTTGCTGCTTTTTCTTTGCTTTCTTCTTTTTGGGCTTTTGGGCACCATCCTGGTCATCACAGGGCTGCATATAGTCTCCTGCAGTCTCGGGAGAAGCACTGGGACACTTGTCCCCATAGGACTCTCCGGGCTGCTTCTCAGCTTGGTCTTTCCTCTTGGCCACAGGTTCCTGGCTCTCCTCTTCCTCACGCTTTTTCTTTTTAGGCTGCTTGGCCTTGGGTTTGGGGAGATTCTCCACATCTTTACCTGTTGCTTCTTTTGTGTTTTTCTTTTCCCTTTTTCCTTCTACTGGGGGCTCTGAAAGGCCAGGCCCTGGAGCTTGGGCCTGTGGTTTGTTCTTTAGCTGAGCCATCCGCTTAGCAAAATACTCCTGGATGGTGAAGGAGCTGGTTGTGGTGGTGGAGGGCTCGTTTCCATCTGCAGCAGCCGGGCCGCAATCCTCCTAAGGGGAAGAAGAGTTACAGAGCAGTTAAGTGTCTCAATCATTCTGCACAGCAGCCAAGAGGACTCCATGTGGAGCCACTCGTGCTCAGGAGACACAGTGATGCTGAGAGCTGGTCTCTTTCTCCCCTCTGCTGGACCTGAACTGCAAGGCACAGAACAAGGTAGCAATGCCCTCGGGCTCTGTACCATGTCAGGCAGGAGGCTGAGCAGGCAGATGCTAACTGAGGAAGTCAGTGAGCAAGTTGCCTAGCCAGGCTTCTGAGTAAACTGCTCCTTAGAAACAATGCTATAAAGGGCAATTAGCCCCAGAGTCTCCCATAAAAACCAGGGACACTGAAGTTCTGGAGCTTTGTGATTTTGTTAGACACTGATTTCAGCTCCACTATGGAGTACATAGGTCTTTACATGTTGATGTAGAAAGTCAGATGTCACGTGAACAGGTTAACCTTCCCCATGAGGACAGAAGACAATTTCAACCTGGAGGCTGGCTTGCTGGGAACACCTCCCACTCCCCTACTCCCCCTTCAGAGTACAGCTACTCTGGTAGCTACTCCTGGAAAGAATATGCTAATCCTCTTCCCTGAAAGAGTGGGGTCACCTGGGGATCTTCTTCCCTCCACTGGGGATGGGGAGAAAGGAGAGGCTCCATTCCTACCCTAACATGGGCTAGATAACTCAGATCTGTTAGTCTTGTTTTTCAATTTGAGGAATTACTCATGAGTAACAGCTGGGATTAAGTAAGGATACATTAATTTTTAAAAAGTACATTTAGCTGTAAAACTGGAGAAGGGAGAGAAAAATGCCTAACACAAAAAAGAGGTGAGTTAAATTACAAATGCTGGTACTACACATGGGGTGATAAAAACGAACGCATGAAGCACAAAGAAACTTCAAATTGAAAACTATAAGGAATATGTTTTAAGTAAAGTCAATGCCTAGTAACTCTGCCTAAAAAGACTTGAAATATTCAAGTTATTCAACAATAATGCCATACTTAGGTTTTCATACTTACCTGGTCTCTCCTCTCACATGCATTCATTCTTACAGAAAGAGGCTGGTATGCTACCCTTGTATGTTGTGGGGCAGGGAAAGGTCTGAATAAAGAAAGCAATTTCCAGATCAGGATTTTACAAATGATTCAGAATGCAGGTGGCAATGCCCTGTGGGAACAGCTAACCTAATCACAAACTAACACATTAAACATGTGTTTTCTTGACACAGCGACACTCAAAATCCAGTTTAGTGGGATCAAAAACAACACCCTGTTTGAAACTCCAGCAGGACCAATATTTTATCAAGAAACAGCTAGGTCTTAGTGGCCACTGCCCCACAGAGCTCTCATCAAACGGTACCTTTATCCCATCAGTGGGGTGGTTGCCCATGCCTGTAATTACAGGTACATGGGAGAGGTAGAATGATCATGGTCCACAGCTGGCTCTGGGGATAAAGGTGTGAGACCCTATCTGAAAACTAACTTAAGTCAAAAGCACCGGGGGTTTGGCTAAGTTCAAACTTCAGTACCACTAAAAAAAAAATAAGTAAAAAAAAAGACACCTTTATCAATATCACTACTTATCAAATCAACATTGACCTTATTTTTTTTTAGCCTCTAGACTAAAAAAAATCATGTAGTCAATTTTGAAGTTTCAAAAATAAAATGCAGAACGTGTGATAAATACACCAAGTTTTAGGAAGAAGTTTAAATTATCAGCATTCAATTTTTGCTGGAATCTCATTGGGTAATTTTGAGAAAAGTAAAAAAAGCTGCTCCAAGAAACAAAAACCAGGTTGCTTTGTCTTTTTGTTTCTCAAATGTTGAATGAGTGCTGAAATTTTGCCTAGCAGAATGAAGCACATTTTCAAGGCTCTGGGGACTAGCCAAAACCAGGCTGGTGGACAAGAAAGATCTTCACTTCCCAAGTAATGGCATACACCCCCAGCCACAAGGGGGCAAAGGTACTGGGAAGATGGCCCACCACATAACAGGTCCCACTGACAGCTGCCCCTTGTGTGGGCCACTCTTCTAGAATGTGCTTGTGAGTTAGAAGCTCATGTGCAAGTCACGTCCCATGGCTCCTCACCTTGCTCATCTGTGTATTACCTCCCGAATTTCTGCTTTGAACAGTTTCACTGCAAGAGCTGATTGCAGGCATTAATCACACCTGTGGTTATCAGGCAATACAAGGCCATTTTTTTAGTCGCTTGCTGAATTTAGTGGGTCTTTCTAATCTGAGAAAATAAGTATGCTCCTAACTCATCCTGTGGTGTGGTAAGGAGTGTAAGAGACCTGGGCCACTGCATACCACGCACAGCAGGGTAGGAAAACAAGCAGAAGAGGTACCAGCATCTTCCATGTGCCTGTGAAAGTATGGACAAAAGCAGCTTGTGGGGAATGCTGTTCAATGTTGGTGGCCACCCTCCACACTACAAGGAATATCTTCTTTAAAAAGCATGGACACACAGGAGGAACATGCTGAAAATCTGATTCCTGCAGGAGCAATGCTCGGAACTCATGACCACACACTTGACAATAGAAACCAGCTTCACCAGAGATTTATCACCTCCAGTTCTGTATTCTCAGCTATAGATCACATGAAAAAATATGTATCTTCAAGAAATGAATACTTTTCACAAATGAAAAGTGAACAAGCATTGGGTAAAGCATCACTTTTTTTCTAGTATTTTGACACAGAAACAATTTGCATCTTCTGACATTTCTACAAGCAACCAATACAATCTCAAAGAAAACCTGTGATATTTAAATGTGACTTTCACTAGTGTGTAAAGTTTGAGGATGTCCCAATCTGCTAATGGTATTCTAAAAACTAGTGAAATAAATTTATAAATAAGTTGAAAACTTCCAGTTCCATATGAAAGACTACCAAGTGAGGTATTCATCTTGCCAAACATTTGGTGTAAGTTTAGGGATTCAGGCAATTTTTGCTGTTAATTAATGGAAGCCCTTTGATAAATCTCATTACCTCTTTGGGTCTCAGTTACCTAATCTAGTAAAATATGCAGGCTAAATTAGGTGATTTCTAAGGTCCCTTGCAGGGCTAGTGCATGTTGATCTCTGAAAAGACACGACGGCTGGTTGTCACTCATGGTACAGAGAACACAGAAGGCCTAGTGAGGCTTTAGTGTACGCTGGTGGCAGAATTAAACTAGGGTCACAAAAAACTCTCGCCCTGTCAGGCCAAGACAGAAAAGTAGTAATAATACAGCTAGCTATAGTGTTTGCATAAAGTAAATTTATTCACCATCTGAAAGAAAACATATACTATAGCTAAAGATCACACACAGTATTGTCAATCAGGAGAGCAGAAAGAGCCAAACACTATTCAGTACTGAAAAACATATAAGGATTCATTCCAATAAATTGATTGTGTGTAGAAGTGAAAACCAACAGAAGCAAAACTAAAGTGACAATTGACTAGAATTAATAATCTATTTTAAACCTAGGTCCTGGAAAATTGTTTCACAGGTTAACTTTATCTGCTCACAGGAAGCACTCCAAGTCTCCTCATTTATTCAGAGCTGATGAGTGCATAGCAAGTGTTAAGAAAAAAATCAGATGATTGATTTTTCTCAGTGATAACTAGGACCTTATTTTCTACCCAATCAATAATGTTCTCTGGGTTAGAACTGACAACTCAGGGGGACCTGCTCCCCACTTCAGAGCCTTGCTGATTTAAAGCCAGAAGAGCCCCGGGGATCATTAGTTCAATCACGCAAGGAAACTGCAGTCAAAGTGACCAGCCCTGAGTATGCCATACTCCTTATCATGTGGCATCTTGACGACTCACAGTAACCCAAGCAGAGGCATTCTCTTCGCCTTCCAGGGCACAAAGTGAGGCTCAGGGCACTTGACTGGCAGGAGTGGGACCCGCCTCCTAGCTGCCAGGTGCAGAGCCCTTGCTCCTCCACATGGCACTAGACTCCAGCCTGCACCAGACTTGCTTCTCGCCTTTTCTCTCTTTAGAGGATCCCAATGCTGAAATTCTTATTAATTCATGGACAAAAGGCCAAGCTCAACTGTGGGGAGGAGAGAAGTTAACTGATGCAAATTTTCATGTAGAAAACATGCTTACAGGAATAGATACTACTTTTTAAAGAGAGAGAGAGAAAAAATTATACTATCTAGCTTGCAATTCACATAAATAAAAGAATAACCTGAAGTCAGGCTTAAGAGTTTTATAATTTGTCAAATTAGCATGCAAATGATCTGTATGTTTTTCCTTCTGATCTATAATCCCATGTGTTACCATAATCACCTTCCACAGGTAAAGTCAACTGGAGAAAAAGCAAGGTAGTTTGGGAACTGTCATCCTCTTTCTGTGAGATTAGCTGTACATCAGTAGCTGCATGGGCTGAACTATTCTCACCAGGGTGGAGAGCAAGAGAGTTCTAGGGTCCCTGACAACTGTAAAAGAAGGCAGCTGGAAGTCAAATGGCAGATGGGACTTCCTCCACAGCCCCTGGCAGCAGGCTGTGAGGTGCAGCCTCCTTCATATCTCAGCCTGAAAACACAACCTGGAAAAGCTTCCATTTCCAGAGAGTCATCACAATGGGTCAACACTGAGGTCAGGCAAGGTAGCAGTTAGTACAAAACAGTTAGCTAGAAAGCAAGCATCGTGCATTGTGTTGGCACCTGTTCCTACTTTCAATGGCACCTCCATGGTTTCCATATTGAAAATTATCATGTTTTACTGACAAAGAGCTACTTTTGCACTCACAAAAAGTTTATTCAAGTGTAAAGTCCTGTTTTGTTTTGTTTTTTTTTTTTGGTGGTGGTGGTTTTGGGGTTTGAACTCAGGGCCTCATTCTGTATTTTTTTTTTTTTTAAACATCCATCATTCATGCTTGGAATTAGGCTAAACACACACTCTCAGTAATAACCAGCCTTGGGGACACAATCAGTTTTAGCATTAGCAAGTACACAGAAGTTAAAAATAGATATATATGTAAATATATATATAAAGCCTTACCAACTGAAGA